CTCTATGTGGCAGAGATTAGGCCTTATCAGAGTGAGGACCTTTACATCAACAATGTTTTCGGTAGCTTTAGGCAACTCTCTGACAAATGTAGCCTCCCAGACTCTCATCTATTTCGCTACTTCCAGGTCCGTAACTGGGTTAAAATCAATAACCCTTCCTTCCCCAATATCCCTCCGGATTCCATAATTGACTCAATTCTGGACACTAACAACCGAAAAAGGTCTGGTTTCAAGAATTTACAATTCCGTCTCCCGTCTCACAGAAACATCTCTTGGTAAAATCAAACAAGATTGGGAAGATGAGCTAGTCCAAGCAATAGATGATGCTGTCTAGGATGGCGCATTAGCGAGTGAACAATAGTACGTCCTGTTCCAGGCTCAATCTTATACAACTTAAAGTTGTCCACCGTATCTATTACACCAACTCCAAACTCTCCAAAATATACCCTAATGTCACGGATATCTGTAACAGATGTCACACGTCACCAGCAAACATGACTCATATGTTTTGGTCTTGTCCTCGCCTACAAGGATACTGGACAAGCATTTTCAAACACCTTACTGAGGCCTTGGACGTGGTATTGACACCATGTGCAGAACTGCCATTTTTGGAGTACTACCTGGCCACCGAATGTTGAAGAGGAAAACTAAAGACAGTATAGCCTTTGCATCTCTATTAGCACGTAGAAGAATACTACTTGAGTGGAAATCCTCGTTAGCACCTAAAGCATCTCTATGGCTTAAAGATCTTATGTTGTATCTGAACTTGGAGAAGATTACATATAACCTGAGGGGCTCTTCAGAAATGATTGAATCTGTCTGGGGCTCTGTGATAGCCTACATAGCTGAATTTAAGACACTAAATTAGGAAGAAAGGGGGGACTATGAATGTATGTTTTTTAGTTTTTTATATATATACATGTACGTACGTGTATGTGTATATGTGTGTATGTATGTGTATGTATATGTGTATGTAAATGTGTGGGTATGGGTGTAGGTATGTACATATATATATATATATATATATATTATATATATATATATATGTATGTGTTAGGGCTGTACCCGAATATCCGAATATTCGTTCGTTGGAGTACTATTCGGGTTTCAATGTCGTTATTCGTTTTTGTTCGTTTTTTTTTTGGCAGCCGCTTTGCACTGCGGCTAGAATTTATTGAAAACTCCAATATCAACGTAAGAGCTTGTGCCTCTTCGGGGGGTGCTAACACTTAACCATAAGCGTTATCGTTTACTTTTGTCTTTATTTGTAGATATTACTTTTTCTCCGTTAATCTCTGTCACGTTGTTTCCATAGCAACAACAACTTCCTGTCAACAGCGCTAACTCTCCTTCAAAATAAAAGCATGGCCATACGAAATAGGAAGCCAAGCCAAATTACACTTAAGACATATACTCCAACGAAAGTAACAAACACAATGCGATATCCTTTTCAATTTTAAAGAACACAAATTGGGTAACATTAACAAATAACTATAAAACAACAATACTGTAGAATAACAAAATGAATGCAGTGAATAAACCGAAAAACACGTGTTGAAGCGGTTCGGTGCTGACCCCCCCGCGCGGGCCGAATATAAAAATATAGACCGTATAAATGTAACTCATTGTGCCTGACTAAATAAAAAAATATATTAAAAAAACAAAACAAAAAGATATACAGACAGAAAGACATGGACATAGACACCAGCTCAGTCATTCCTCTCTCACACTAGATTACCCTTTCTCTCTTTTGAACACACAATCATAAAAGTAAACACACTCAGCCAGACACACACACACACACACACACACACACACACACACACACACACACACACACACACACACACACACACACACACACACACACCACACACACACACACACACACACCACACACACACACACACACACACACACACACACACACACACACACACACACACACACACACACTGGAGGAGAGGGGTTGAGGCGAGGGTCAGACTACTGATGGCCGGCTGCAGCAGGATTCAAAGAAAAGTAACAACAAATGATTCTCTTCGGTGAGCTGAAGAAGACTCTATAGTTAGTAACTAAAAGTTAGGGGGGGGAAGGGAGCATTACATTTTGTATTCCACATAGCAATAGTAGTGTTTTTCTTTCATGTATCGAAACTGAACCCTTTATTAAAACATATAGAAATAGAACATGGCATTTTCTTAGAATCAAAACACGTATTTTAGTGTATGGCATCAGATTGGATATACAGAAACTTTACCATGATCTGTCACATATGAATATATAATACCTTGCTTATATCTTGTTATTGTTTATTTGTAAATTCAACATGTATATGTTCTACCTTCTTGTTTATTTCTTGTCTTTTAACTTTTATTGTACAATGCCATGTCTTTTTATGTTGCTGCAACACAAACATTTCCCAAATTGGGATCAATAAAGTGCCATCTTATCTTATGGTGAGGCAAAACACCAAGGAGACAACACTTCTACAATAGAATCTGGTATTGGATTTCACTTGCTCGTAAATGGTGGATGGACTGTATTTATATAGCTCTTTATTCAGTTGTTGCGACCCCTCATAGCGTTTTATATTTCATCATTCACACCCTATTCATACAGAGCAATGTTCCACTTGCTCAAGGAAACTTCCATACAACCCTTTTACACACAGTTGGCCATGCCATCAGGAGCAACTGAGGTTAAGTATCTTGCCCAAACATGTTGGATCAATCCCACAACAGCCCGATTGAAGGATGACCGTATTACGCAGGGTATATGCAGGAATCCTGAAGTCAAATGTAATTCCTTTTAAGATCTTTTTAAGACCCTTTCCATACATTTTAAGACCTCATCGCCATTTCGAGTTCTAACCGGTTACATTGGCGACACACTTTACCTCACATTGACTATATACAGTATTGATTGTAAGATAGCACAACTAAACAGCTTGTGATAACTCCTTATCATAATTCAGATTGAACAAAGCACGAGAGAATCAATTGTGTGACTAACCCAATGCAAGGTTTATTAGAAAAAGAAACCATTAGAAAGTAGTATTTGATTTAGGCATTGTTACCAAGAGATAAAACAAAAAACGATATATATGTTAACACTTTTCTCATTCTTAATATAGACTATTATTTAGGGTCGATATGTGTTGACTTTACTTTAAAATAGCAGATCACTGTGACCGGATATAGTTTGGCTTAGTGAACGTGTGTCTCTTCCTTGGAGGAGCAGCATCGGCCGGACTCCACTGCTCCTCCGTGCAGAGAGTCTGCAGAGTGTCAGCGACTTGCAGTCAGGGGAGGCACGGATTGGCTATCGGGAGAGTCGGGATTTAAACGCCGCGGCTTTCTGGCTATTACTTAGCATATGGGACCGGACAGCTTTGATCCTGTTAGTGTATTCTAGAACCCCGAAGGCAGGAGAGACTGAAAAGAGTCAAGGGAAGCTTATAAAAGTTAACAGCATTTAATTACACAAAAGATGCGGTGGTGTACAAAATGAAATGTGCGAGTGGAGGCGCTCTCCTCATCCGACCGGTCAGTCTAGGTCAGCAGGTGGAAGAGGTCAATTCTTGGCTTGTTCTTCCTGTTGTCATCGGAGGTCTTCTCCTATTGGCCGGCGTCGTCGGGGGCGGGTCCAATGCAATTCCTGCCTTTTTCTGTTGTTAAATTACATCATTCTGGTGTCTGTGGTTATTTAAACATTCCCTAATAAACGTTATTCAGCGGTAATAAATGAGTGCTAAACCCAGTGTGCTCAGTGTACAACATCACATGTCATTTCACCTTTGATTCACGGTTTGAAAATGCAGCATTTCGCCACATTCTAATGCTAACCGGAAGTGAATAATTTTCAGAATAAAAGTATTAAGTTAATAGTTAGAGAACTTCCGGTTTTTCAGAATAAAACTAATTTAAATTAAATAGTGTATTTAATTCAAATTACGCCATACCAACATTGATTTTAATTTCTAACAATCCCCATCGACAGTGGCGATTCTAGAGTCTGTGGGCCCCTCGAACCAGCTTTCATCACCATCAGTGGCGCCCCAAAACACTCTTCCCCCCCCAGGCGGAGCAAGGCTACGAAACTTAAAATAAGAAGCAGAAATGTACGGCGCGCTATGCATGGGGCCGCCTTGAGGGGGTTTCCCGACATGTTGTTGCAGTCAATTAAAGGGTGTTTCATGTTGTCGTTGCTGTGGACCTTCTTAATACCATCTGAGTCAACTTTTAATACTTTTAAGACCCCGCGGACACCCTGATTACGTCACAGCCATAGTCACCACAGTTGCTTTTGATTATTGTAACCCTTGCTGGAACCTTGATGAACCCCAGATTAAACGTTAAATGAAGTGTTTACACCCAAGAAATTCCTTTCAAGAAGCACCTATACGAGCAGCTTCACACAGAGCAGTGGAAGTGAAATCTACATGACTGGGCTACAGGTTTCACTATTTGGTTGAGCAAACTGAGACATTCATCCAGAGAAATTCCCCCTGATTATCTCTTTCTGCTTCAGTGGAGGCTTCAGTTCAGTTTAGGCGTCCTCAGAAATGGAGCTGGGCGCTCACCACTGACAGCTTCCCTTTGGGTGAACTGTCCCTTTCCACCACACACTCTTTACCATCTCAACATGTTTACAGTCTGTCATTAGGCCTGCTGCTGTTTATCTATTCATCTCATTTGACTGATGGAGACAGTGTTCGCTTTCATCAACGTCTTGGCTCATTTTCATGCCCCTGCATCGCTTCACTTCAAAGACAAACGGCAGCAAGTGATCTCGTCAAAACGCGGTGATTTTCAATTCATACCACCGTAGGAACAGAATCTAAAATCTGCACCTCAGCACAAACTGCTTTTTGTGTCACCTGATGACAGTAGTCCTCTGATTAGAGTAAGGCACCATAAGCTCTTTGCTTTAAATTATGTGTGTGTAATTAAAATAGCAGTGAGTGTGTTTGTTTGTGTGCGTGTGGTACTACTTACATCAAAGGTTTTTCCATGCGGCTTCCCAGGGAGCCCACTATCTCGCCAAGTGTGCAGAACGCCTGGCCCAAGAAGTCCTGCATGTGTGGAAAAACATGTCATTAGGCTCATGAAATGGGGGGAAAAGGAAAAATGTGGAGGTGGAAGAGCAGGGAGAAACATTCATTATTTATGTGGTTAGTACTATATTTAGGACTGATCCAAACGAACCGTGTGGTAGGTTTCCCATTATGGTGACTCAAAGTGTTCCATGATAAGTTATTTTGTAAGAAAGTTAATATAATTTATATTTGTATGACCATGAAGTTGTAAAATGCAAATTACCTCCTGGAAATGTCCTTCTTATTATTTTATTTAACTAACAAAACCATCTTTTTCACTCACAGTTTTATGATGGACATAAAAAGGACACTTAATCAGCAACTACTTTGACATTGTATTGTATTATTTAAGTCCACATTCATACATTGATGTCAATTATTGTCTTATCCCATTAAATCCACATTTCACTATTTTATAAAAGCACTAAGAGGCAACCATGATATCTGTTGTGCGTAGACGGCTCTGCTAAGATTGTTCCCTAGTTTAGGTTTCATGTTATGTGTTTAGATAGGTTCCTGTTTTATTTTGATAGTCTTGTCTACCCTCATGTGTCTAAAGTACGTTTCCTGCCTTGTCTGTTTTCCCACGGTTGTGATTGTCTAATTGTCTTCACCTGGTGTTGTCTGTCTAGTATATATCTCGTCTTCCCCTGTCTCGTTGCCAAATTGTCTTGTGTGTTCCAAGCCTTCCAGCGTAAGATCATTTTGTTATCGTCCATAGATTTAGATTAGTGTATTAGTAGTTTTTGTTTTGTTACTTTATGTATTCAGTGTGTTATGACCTGTCTACATTAAAACACTTTATTTTGATAGTTTGTCTCTGCATCGTGCATTTGATTCCACACCCTTGTACAGCCTCAACAATATCTTTACATTTCATTAAATGACATATAGCTGATGTGACCGGATGATAAAAATCAACCAGAACATACCGACTCAAAAAGAAAGACTAAAGCCAAGAAATTATTGTGTGAGCTACACACAAAACACTTCTTTTATACCACTTATATATATTAATAAGAGACCTTCTGCCTCCCTGATATCAATGGGGTTTCAGGGTATTTGGTGTAACATAATGTAATAGCTGATATACTCCATTCGCAGCTACTTAGGTTGTATTTCAAGATCTTTCCGAGCTGAAGTCATAGATTTGGCTTCATTTTCATTTTCAGTCTTTATTTCGAACAGATTAACAAATAACAAATGTGAAAAACAGAATACCGTATTGTTATAATACAGTATTTATCCACATTCATGGTAATATTTGTATATTCAACAAAAAAAGTCTTCATATTAATAATAAATCATGTGTGTCCGAAAGGGAGCAGGAGGAAGCAAATGCTTATTAATTCCCACACCTTACTTGATCAATGATTGTCCTTTAAATCATTATGCAAGTTATTCCTACTTACATTTACATTTATACATACACAATAATTTCTCATCTTCAATCACCTTTCTTCATTCTCATATTTGTCCCTTTTAAACTGAATTATGCTTGTGCTTTGTTTTAACTCCTGCTCCAAACCATTCCATAAAATTGCTTGCTTTCTCTTTTTTGCTGTATATTTAGCACGTTGACAGCTCAGCGTGCAGAGGGTCCCGTGTCCTTGGTGATCACTGCAGGGTGACTGAGGAGAGGACTCCGTTGGCCAGCAAGAAGAGCAAAGAGAGGAGGGGGGTGATACAAAGTCTGTTTACAGGCAGGAGGGACTGTTAACGCACTGCTACTGGGGCATCCCTACCAGACTGTGTGTGTGTGTGTGTGTGTGTGTGTGTGTGTGTGTGTGTGTGTGTGTGTGTGTGTGTGTGTGTGTGTGTGTGTGTGTGTGTGTGGTGTGTGTGTGTGTGTGTGTGGTGTGTGTGTGTGTGTGTGTGTGTGTGTGTGTGTGTGTGTGTGTGTGTGTGTGTGTGTGTGTGTGTGAAATGACAGAGGAGCAGCGTTGAGTCCAGCGGGCAGAAAGCTGCTTCAAAGATCTTTGCCGGTGCTGAGCAAATTCCCCCCCACCCCCCCTAGCCGAGGTCTCCAAATAAAAAGAGACAACATGCTCTGGCCTGGACTTCAGCAGTGTGCTGCTAGCTAACAGTTAGAGCCCCTCACAGATCTGAGGCCAGAGGCTGAGGCGCCACGCATTAACAGCTCAGTGGTGGCAAGGGGAAACAAAATAGAGGTTAGGAGGGTATCTGCGAGTAATAACGATCACAGCTGAATCCCACAAGTCCAAGTCCTGTTTTTCAAATCTCCTAAGCTCTTTAGCTTTCTAAATGTAGTGAAATATTATAATATATGTATTATTATGCTTATGAACGGGAAATCCACTTTTAGTTCAAATTGGGAATTCAGATTTTTGTCAATTATGTTTTTTTCCCATGAATAATCAAAAAGGTGAATCCTGACACCAAGCTTGATCTTCGACAGGTGAAAGTGTTTTAAAAAATGGTTCCTACATCCTTTTATAAACATCAATATGCCAAATTATTATAATTTAATGCAGTATTTTATATTTCATTTTGTTTCATTATATAAAATATACTTATTTCTGCGTTTTACTTGAACCATTGTGTCCATTTCAACATTCTCTTGCACTTCTATACATTTTTTCACTTGTGTCATTTATTTTTTACCATATTGTACATGTGAAGAAAGAGCCTGTGACTTAAAACGTTCATTGACAAAACTACCCTGAAGCTATTGTGCATTATGACAATAAAGCTTTTGAATCAATTAATTTTAAATCTTAATAAAAGTCCTTTTTGCTTGTTGCTTAGAGGAAATGTGTTATTCCTTTTGGTTTTCTTTGCTCCATTTAGTAAAGGGGCTTAAAGTCTGCAGTAAAATCCTGACAGCTTTCAAATACTGATGAGGTGACTCACTAGTATTTAACTTAATTACTGCCTGCAAACAAAGGAGCAATTTCCCGCTCATAATAACTTGCTAATCCTCACATTTTAAATAATGACTCCTTACTGTTTCTAAGAACATTGATGTATTTTACAACCAAAATGAACAAGAGTAAAATAAAGGATTGTGCACCGGTCCGTGACAAGCTTCTGAATGGATGAGAAAACAACATCATGCTCTTCATCTGCTGGCACACAGCCCCTAATTAGATTTTACTGTACGCTCCATCTCTGCACATCTTCCCCTGCAGCCATATCTGCACAAGGTATGCAAACCATATGGCAGAGGAAACAACATCTGCTGTGACGAGAGGAGGAAGGCATCCTCAGCCATTGATGCTGCCAGGAGAGACGCTGTGTTTCCCTCCGTTTATTCCTCAACTTTCTCTTATTTAAAGCGACTGGGGATGGACTTCTCTAGGACAATGGAGCCATCACTGTGTGCCAGATCTCCAATCCCACACATCCACAGCGACGACAGGACGCATCCAAGCGTCCTCAGCCTTCATGCTGAGAGTGAGTCGCTGCGCTCACATTGCTCAGCGCTCTCAGTGGAAGCCTGGGGGCTGAGGCTGAGGAAAAGAAGTGCCTGCAGTTGGCAATGAGCCGGGTAACAGGAAATAGGGCTGGAGATGGAGTCCAGGTTATGGACAGAATTGGAGCAGTGCTGCTGGAGCTTCTGTTTGAACCGAAAGCCAAGGATTGGGCTGAAGGGCAGTGAGATCCCAAGTTACAGGTTTTTAGATCAATCTCAATCAATCTCAATCTTTGTTTATTTATATAGCACATTTAAAACAACCTTCAGTTGACCAAAGTGCTGTACAGGCAGTAACTACAATATTAAATAACACGATGGGAGAATTAAAAACATAATAAAAAGCACAATAACTAGAAACATATACAAAATAAATAAATAAAAAACACATACAAATATAAAAATGTAATGTTCAACTAGTATTAAAAGCCAGTGCAAAGAGGTGAGTTTTTAGCTGAGATTTAAAAAGTTCAATAGACTCAGCAGTCCGGATATGTGCTGGGAGGCTGTTCCACAGTCTGGGAGCTGCAACACTGAAGGCCCTGTCACTGAGCTGCAACACTGAAGGCCCTGTCACTGAGCTGCAACACTGAAGGCCCTGTCACCTCTGGTTTTTTTCCTGCTCCGAGGAACCACCAACATATTCTGCTGAGCTGAGCGCAATGCTCTAGCTGGAGCATGGCGGTGCAACAACTCAGACAGGTAATGTGGTGCCAGTCCATGCAATGACAATTGCATCAGATCAAGATGGGAGGAGATTGGAGAGTGTTTGGGAGAAACTTCAACCTGTAATTCATCATGAGCAGAGGCTGTCATGGTTTTGGATTGATGTTGTTTTCATTTTCCACCTTTTATTTTGAAATGTTTTCCTCCTTGTGTCTTGTCTGATCCTACTTCCTGTGTTTGCCTTCCTGTCGTTAGTTTCCCTGGTGTGTCTAATTGTGTTCACCTGTTGCCCTCGTGTTTCTGCCTCCCCTGCCCAGCTGTGTCTTGTCCTGTGATTACCCTTCTGTGTATTTAGTCTCGTCTTCCCCTGTGCTCCGTGTCTGTTCGTCGTCGTTTCATGTCCATGCTACCTGTCGTCTCTTTGTGTCCATGTTCCCTGCCTCGCCTATGCTCGTCTATGCTTGTCTCCTGCCTGTTCCCGTCTGTCGTGATCCCCGGTTTTTGGTTTTGTTAATTAGCTTCTTGTTTTTCATGTCTTTTAATAAAGCTCGCTTTTTGTTAACAAACCTTTTTGTATTTTTTCAACTGCACTTGGGTCCTATTTTCCACAACCCTGACAGTGGCAGGAGGGCACGCAGGGTGATTTCAAAACAACACCCTTATGAGAAAGAGCATAAGCAGGAACAAACAGATGCCTGATGAATGACAAAGCTGATATGATCTCAACGCGTTATTAAAGCCTGCCAGCTGACATTATTATGTTTGGTTTAAGACTAGAGAGAGCCTGTCAAAATGTAGATGACTTGTCCTATCCTCCATTTGATCATTTTGATGAGCTATCACTCCCTATTGAAGTAAGTGCTGAAAGCCCGGAGCAACTCAATGTTGTTATTCCAAATCATCTCTTTTGCCTCATTAGCACGCCATCGTTTAGCTCCGCTCCACTCAATTCCCCTTTGGTGCCAGGTACTTCTCTCTGCTTTGCTTTTCACTGTGGATAATGCCCCATCAGCGTAGGTGGGATTCTTATCTTAATGTCAATAGCAAATGTTGAGTAAAAGTAGTGAAATTATCTTTAACGTATTGCTTACTGATCCTTTAGTCTGAAACCAAACAGAATAGAGTCTGCACCTCGTCAATTTTACAGACAGACACGTTTTCTAAAGGTCTGGGTTGAGATAATTACAAAATAAATTGCAGTCGCTAATGATAACGACTTCCCGGCGTATGCTGCCACCCGAAGTCCCCGGCCGGAAGTCCTCGGAGTTGGGGACTGGCTTCAGTAGAAGCTGCTGGGACTCCCAGCAGCTTCTACTGAAGCCTTCCAAGTAAATCGTTTTATTTTGTGTTGCCATAAGTTAGTCTCTCTCCGTTGGTGCGCTGGGCTAATGCTAATGCTAATAATAATGCGAGCAAATAAAATGGCGGCTTCATAAAACTTTTTGGGAGTTTTACGGGGCGCGGTTTGCAATCCGCCCAGCCATCAGAAATAGGAACCTTTTTCTCCCACGAAAGTACCTGCTCTCTAGCGGGGACGGAAAAGGGGGTGAAACCGGATTTTTTTGGTGTGAATGCAAATTTTCGGAACTATATCGGAACTAAAGTGGGAAAAGTACTCCGGTGTGAAAGCGCCTATTTATTGGATGCTAATGGAGAACCAAATAACTGTTTTTAATCAAGCCTAATAGAGCCATGCTGCACCATGCAATGGAAATGCAGCAATAGGTAAATTGATAATGTACCCATTTTCACCAATTGGCAAACATTCCAGTACACTGGTGCTCATGACATGTCAGGAAATTAAACAACAACTATATAAATGTAAAAAGGCCATATTGATGACCGGATTGATATACTTTATTAAACATATACAGTATAATGGAGACATCTAAAATGTGTAGATTCTTTTCTTGGACCTACTTTATAAGGTTGCTTTTGTTCAAATGAAACAATTGCTCATTTACAGCGACATCAATTTGTATAGTTTCCAATTGCTATTTTTCACATGTTATTGCTGTTCTTATTTTGACAGCTTTTATATAAGTAAACCACTACACCTGTAGTTATGGTAACATATAAGATATTCATTCTGAGTTTCAACTTAAAGATGCTTAAACCAGCATTGCATAAAACAAAATTAAGCCGGTCAGGAACATTTTGCAGAGACAGAAACCGTGATGTATTCTGTTCTCTAGGAGATTTGAAATGCCAACATGATTTCCCCTGTTATGCCTCCCTTACCTGTGACATTCTGATTCATATCAAGCTGCTATTGTAGTGGAAGGGTAAACATTACGCTGCATCATATTTCCATGAATGCACGACTGATTGTTGAACAGCTGAGGTGAAGGGCTGACTCACGTGTTTAGAGAGGTTGTCGCTCTTGCAGTCCAAATCATACCTGCAGGAAAGAGAAGAGGAAAAAGGCTTGAGGAACAGGTCTGTGACTGAAAGGCTGCCACAACAAAAATGAAAAGTAAATGACAAGAAGCTTCTCTCCCTCATCACCTGTCATTCATGCGAGGCACTTGTCCGTTAATCACTAAAAATAAGCGTGTCAGGTTTAAAGTAGGTTCGTGATTATGGCGCTCTAAAGCTTAAGTGATCTGATTTCATGCATGAGGGCACAACAATATGAGTGGCATCAGTATCTTTAATGGCTGTCAAGTGAAAGTATTTACACTTCACTCAGCACATTTTACATTTGACCAATTTGAAGTGTTAGTATCAGTTGAAGAACAGATATATACATATATACAAAAGATAACACAGGAAAACATAAGATATGTTATGGATAATGACATGTAATTATGAAGTTAAAGTGGAGAAAAAGGAGCTGGTAAACATGGTAAGAACTCTCTGCAAAATAGATAGATAGATAGATAGATAGATAGATAGATAGACAGATAGACAGATAGATAGACAGATAGATAGATAGATAGATAGATAGATAGATAGATAGATAGATAGATAGATAGACAGATAGACAGATAGATAGATAGATAGATAGATAGATAGATAGATAGATAGATAGATAGATAGATAGATATATGGATAGATGGATAGATAGACAGACAGATAGACAGACAGACAGATAGATAGATAGATAGATGGATAGATAGATAGATAGATAGATAGATAGATAGATAGATAGATAGATAGATAGATAGATAGATGGATAGGAGGATGGATAGGAGGATGGATAGATGTATAGATGGACGGATAGATAGATAGATGATATATGGATAGACACATGGACTGATGGATGGATGGATGGATGAGTGGATTGATATTCCAACTATGTATGTACATAGCAGAAACAACTTCTAGGCATGTTTATTCCAGTACTTGGCTCGTAGCATATATTTGCATCTGCCTGTGAACGTGTCCCCAGCAGTATTTGTAAGTGTATTGAGCGCTGCTGACAAGCGTGTCAAATTCCTTGCACGCATCAAAATAATCATCAACCTAATTGGCCAATTACTTTCATTTAAAATCTGACAGGACAGTTGGCAGACAGTCTAAACATATTTAGGAATAAAGTTACTTTAAGCACAATGTCTTGTATGTAACTTTTGATTAAACTTTAGAGAGTAAGTCCTGCAGTCCAGCGATTAAATTGCATTTTGCAAAAACAAAGTGATGTGGTTTTTGATTGCCGGTCTTTGCCTAAGCTTAGAGGAATCAAGCATCCCATCACTGCCTATAACAGTGAAGAATCATTATAGCAATGGCAATTACTTGCTCAACGCTGCATAAAAAGAGAACTCGAGGGATTCATCGTTGTACATCCATAATGTTGTCTGACTCACAGTTTAAAAAGATTAAGAATCGCAGCAGAAGAACCAGAGTTAGAGATATCGTCTTTGTTATTCCACACATTCCTCTTCCTTTTAAAACCTGGCACATTTTTTACAAAGTACTTATAATAGGGATTCAGCTATCATAGCTTCTCTTCGTCTGACACATTTTTCTGCAGGAGCGTTCATCTAAAACCATAGGTAACATCACGCAGGCCAGTAGAGCAATTTAACCAGCTTTATTTTCTCCCTATAACCCGTCACCTTGCAGGGTGTCTCAGGTGTGTGTGGATATGTGTGTGTGGAGCGAGTGCAGCAGCGTGCAGCGGAGTGTGTAAAAGGGGAGAGCCTGAGTGTTTCTTTCTACAGACAGCATGCCATGTACGATAAGGCGACTGCTGACAAAACTGTGTATCACTATAGGAGGGGTGGGGGGGGTGGCTCTAATACAGTGATGTTAATAATGTTATTCTGTAACAGCAAGGAAACACGCCGCTATTACGCAATACGCCGACGGCAAAATGCACAGGTGCGCTTCATGTTCTATTCGCCCCTCGCCTCTGTCACTCCCAAATGTTCATGAAAGATTCATGAACATTTAATTTAATAATGAGACCCAAAGAGAGAGCAAGACAGAGAGGGTGGGGGGGTTATGCTTAATGCTGATATATGGAATGTAGTCGAATCAAGTCAACTGTTGTTGTTAAAGTAAGTGTTTCACGATCTGGGAACAAAACGTAATTGTCATTATTTTGAATGATACTACGATACATAACGGACTGATCCGTTTTGCAAAAATCACTTGACCAATCACAACAGAGCCGGCCAGCTAACCAATCAGAGCAGACTGGGCTCTGGTTTCAGACAGAGGGTGAAAAGAGGTGCTGCAGCTCAGGCAGTATGAGGAAAGAGTGTTTGAACATTAAAGCATGGAGACACAGTAGAGGCAAACCAAACCCATATGAACCTGAAAATGAGCTTAATAGAGTCCCTTTAACACATGTTGGGCTTCTTCTGAATGTTGCACTAGTTCATATGACAAAGAGTGTGTACAGAACAGGCCTGCATAGTCAAATGAGAAACCGAAGACCAGTATGGCCGAATACAGATGGATTGTAATGATATATGAATAATGTATCATCATTTGGCTGCACATGTTCACCCGCCTACACACATACACACCTCGAAACACACATCAGAGTGTGCATGTCCCACGGCGCCTCGTGAGTGCAAATTTGCTGTGTGTAGCTGAGTGAGTGTGTGTGTGTGTGTGTGTGTTTATGTGGATGACATCACTCTGCATCGGCACTGGGCCAGACAGGGTTTCTCTCGGTCCTGAGCTGTCTGTCTGTCTTGGAGGGGAGGCTTGATGACTAACGATGGTACACAAACAAACAGCACCGTGAAGGAAGACAAACAACGAACGACAGCACACTGACACTTGAGCTGCGTCTCCTCGCAGCTCGGGAACCTTCGTACGGACTGATACAAGATGCTGCACACATGTTTTATTAGCACATGTTCGCTGCAGTAATTGGTCCTGACACTTCACCCTGAACGCTGTACTTTACACTTTAATGTATGAATGCACTTTGAGTTTCAAAGCCGAGTAGCAGTCCTTGGACTATGAATCCTCTTATGATTTGTTGCCTTTGAGAAAAACATATGCCAAATGAGTGTAATGTATTGATTATTAAAATGCAGGATAGGAAAAAGACATTAATATTGTACGAAAGCATGCTCTCTTGCACAGCCGAGTGGGACACTTTAGACTAAATAAGGGTCAGACTTTTTAAATGGCATATGTCAATTAAACAAATGTTGCTTTAAATACATATACATCTACATGTGTGTTTAAAAAACATATATTTAAAGGACTTTATGGTTTGGTATTAAGTTTAGATTGTAGTGTTTCTAATACTCTAAGTCAAGTTTTAAAAAAGAAATTCCCACCATATTTATATTACAATCATTCATCATATATGAAAGGGTTTTGTGGTTCTTTCTAGTTTAAAGATAAAATTAAGAAAAACACAATTGTAATGTTGTTATACACTAATGTTATAACAAGTTGTTTTAACCTGGTTTTTACTTGATATTCAGCTTTAACTCAGTGTAACTCTAAGTTAAAGGGGCCCTAAAAGGTTTATTTTCAGGTGTATATCAGTATGTAGTGTCTCTACTTTAAAGAGTCCTCTCCTGCTGATGTTCAGGTGTATATCAGTATGTAGTGTCTCTACTTTAAAGAGTCCTCTCCTGCTGATGTTCAGGTGTATATCAGTATGTAGTGTCTCTACTTTAAAGAGTCCTCTCCTGCTGATGTTCAGGTGTATATCAGTATGTAGTGTCTCTACTTTAAAGAGTCCTCTCCTGCTGATGTTCAGGTGTATATCAGTATGTAGTGTCTCTACTTTAAAGAGTCCTCTCCTGCTGATGTTCAGGTGTATATCAGTATGTAGTGTCTCTACTTTAAAGAGTCCTCTCCTGCTGATGTTCAGGTGTATATCAGTATGTAGTGTCTCTACTTTAAAGAGTCCTCTCCTGCTGATGTTCAGGTGTATATCAGTATGTAGTGTCTCTACTTTAAAGAGTCCTCTCCTGCTGATGTTCAGGTGGATATCAGTATGTAGTGTCTCTACTTTAAAGAGTCCTCTCCTGCTGATGTTCAGGTGTATATCAGTATGTAGTGTCTCTAATTTAAAGAGTCCTCTCCTGCTGATGTTCAGGTGTATATCAGTATGTAGTGTCTCTACTTTAAAGAGTCCTCTCCTGCTGATGTTCAGGTGGATATCAGTATGTAGTGTCTCTACTTTAAAGAGTCCTCTCCTGCTGATGTTCAGGTGTATATCAGTATGTAGTGTCTCTACTTTAAAGAGTCCTCTCCTGCTGATGTTCAGGTGTATATCAGTATGTAGTGTCTCTACTTTAAAGAGTCCTCTCCTGCTGATGTTCAGGTGTATATCAGTATGTAGTGTCTCTACTTTAAAGAGTCCTCTCCTGCTGATGTTCAGGTGTATATCAGTATGTAGTGTCTCTACTTTAAAGAGTCCTCTCCTGCTGATGTTCAGGTGTATATCAGTATGTAGTGTCTCTACTTTAAAGAGTCCTCTCCTGCTGATGTTCAGGTATATATCAGTATGTAGTGTCTCTACTTTAAAGAGTCCTCTCCTGCTGATGTTCAGGTGTATATCAGTATGTAGTGTCTCTACTTTAAAGAGTCCTCTCCTGCTGATGTTCAGGTGTATATCAGAATGTAGTGTCTCTACTTTAAAGAGTCCTCTCCTGCTGATGTTCAGGTGTATATCAGTATGTAGTGTCTCTACTTTAAAGAGTCCTCTCCTGCTGATGTTCAGGTGTATATCAGTATGTAGTGTCTCTACTTTAAAGAGTCCTCTCCTGCTGATGTTCAGGTGTATATCAGTATGTAGTGTCTCTACTTTAAAGAGTCCTCTCCTGCTGATGTTCAGGTGTATATCAGTATGTAGTGTCTCTACTTTAAAGAGTCCTCTCCTGCTGATGTTCAGGTGGATATCAGTATGTAGTGTCTCTACTTTAAAGAGTCCTCTCCTGCTGATGTTCAGGTGTATATCAGTATGTAGTG